ATGACTGTAATAGTTTAGTTTATCTTGAATTCTATCAGTCAAATAGTTAACGACTACGCGTCTGTACGCTACGTTGTTAAAAAGTTAAAAACACAAGCTCACCCGATTCTCGGTGAGTCGAACCTCTTCATAAAATTTCTCTCCATTAAAGTGACGAACTTCGCTCGCTTCTGATTCTATCTTAACAATAGTAGCTACCGTAAATGTAATAGATCTGTACTGTAATAGATCTGTACTGTAATAGATCTGTACTGTAATAGATCAAATGCTTTAAATTAGAGTTCGGCAAACAAAACCAGAACCCAAACAGACCAAAACGAAAACCAAAGCCAAAACCAAAACACCAAAACACCAAAACAAACCAAAACTCAATTTGCATATAAATTAACATGTAAATTTAAAATTGTAAAATGCAAATTTGCCTTTCACTTTTTCTCACTCCCCAAAATCTGGCGGCCGAAAAAAGGACCAAAACACGACCTCGAAATTTCGAAACAAAAAATAGCCTATGGGATAGATTTTTGGATGCTGATTTCAAATCTGCAAACAGATTTTCGCTAGCTCCTCCCAGTCGCGAGATATTGCCGAGTTTTGGTTAGTTTTGGTTTTGGTTTTGGTTTCGGTTTGTTTTGGTTTTGGTTTTGTTATGGTTTTGGTTTTGTTATGGTTTTGGTTTTGGTAGTTTTGGTTTTGGTTAAGTTTTGTTTTCCGAAGTCTACTGTAAATACTACTAAAACTACTGTAATCTTAAAGATATTTTAACTAAGAATTCTGTATGAAAATAGCTAAAGAATAAGTCAAATCGAAAGATGCAAAAAGTAGATATCCGATTGGCAAGAAAGTTTGTAGAAAAAGTTTGCACGGTTCATAACATTTCTTGGTCTCATTTCTGTGCCCATGTAAGCTTGAATTTGCATTTAAAAAACGATAACAGCCTTTGTTCATAAGAGACCATCTGAAAGTGTCAAATTACAAGCTGCCAATCATTTTTTGGATTTATTACTTTGTAAGGTTAACTTTTTGACGGCGGAGAAGTTTCTCCCGTAGCGCAGTCGGCCTTCAGATTGTCTAAAGGCTCAGTCTCATAATCTGGAGGCCGTGAGTTCGAGTCTCACCGGGAGCAATCGATTTTAACTATTAGGTTGGCAAGAAAGTTCATAGAAAAAGTTTGCAAAGTGATTTCTCAAGAATCAAGCCATCAATTCTTCCCAGCTTTTGATAAACTTGAATATAATTCAAAAGATTTTGATGAAAAACATCAGAGTGGGCTTCAGGTAAAAAAAAAAATAAGAGATTTCTTTAGCTGAAGTGCCTTGGTCACTCAAAAAGTGACCAGCCTTTAGTCAAGTTTTTATTTGGTTAATGGATAGGTAGTGAATCTCATTCAAAACCTAAAATAAAGTACTTAAAACAGGGAAAATTTGCAAACAAGAGAAAATCTCTAATTTTAAGGGAAAGCTGCACTCATTTGTTTTTACGTGTAATTTCTTGGAGTCGGCTAAACGGCTAAACGGGGTAAATAATAAACGGCTTGTAAATAATAGAAGAAAATGTTCTTTGAATTGATGGAGCTTCTGAATTAAAAGGTATTCAGTCAGATGAATGGATTTTATTTAAGAATACTGTAACATATCTAACCTTCTTCTTTTTATTCAAATGAATCTGAATTGAGTGCCGTTTTCCCTTCTCTTTCACATGAATTTGGTAAAAATTCTGAAAATTGTTTGGAAATTTGATCAAAAATTGAAGTACCGTATTTGTTCGAATAGAAGACCGGGTAAAGAGTGTCATCGCGTACTCCTGCGTAGCAGCCCTTCTTTTCTGCATAAAAGCTTTCAATCAAGTGCTATAGAGCTGGAAAATGGCTTAAAAATGGCTCAAAAATCTGTATTTTGGTATTTTTGAGTCATTTTCCAGCCCTATAGCTTTTATGCAGAAAAGAAATTTTAAAAAGCGCTGCTACGCAGGAGTACGCGATGTACGCGATGATACTCTTTACCCGGTCTTCTATTCGAACAAATACGGTATTCGTTATCTTTTAGGGGGGTGGGACAAAAAGCGATCTTTTATTTGCGCACCCGACCCAAAAGCGCACCCCCAAAAGCGCACTGGACCCAAAAGCGCACCCGTCCAAAAGCGCACCCCCAAAAGCGCACTGGACCCAAAAGCGCACCCGTCCAAAAGCGCACCCCCAAAAGCGCACTGGACCCAAAAGCGCACCCGACCCAAAAGCGCACCCCCAAAAGCGCACTGGACCCAAAAGCGCACCTTTTCACTGTTGTTTTTTTGGCTTTTTGCAAATCAATACAAAACCAAAAATTCCAAATTTATTTCCCCATGATTATTAGACTAATATCTTTTGTTTCCGGTGCCAAAAATGAACTTCTAATTGTACTTTTGCTTCTTTATACCTTCAATAACAACCTAACCGTTTAACAGTAAAACATTTAGCAGTAAAACAACGACATAAAACAGACAAAAGTAACGATAACACAACTTAAACACATGGCAACATTATCGAGAAACAATATGAGGCAAGAGTTGAGATAAATGTTGAACATGAGACACATTATTTCTACCATTAAGTACAGCATGAAATCTAAGAGTCTGACGATGAACAACACGATTAATTTGAGGCTACAACTGACCAAACGAGAGATTTCGTCTATTGGCAAATTTTAGCCTGTTGATAGCATTTGACATTTCTTTAAAAAGCCGACAAAATTGATTCGCGAAAAGCAAAAAAACAACAGTGAAAAGGTGCGCTTTTGGGTCGGGTGCGCTTTTGGGTCGGGTGCGCTTTTGGACGAGTGCACTTTTGGGTCGCATGCGCTTTTGAAAAGGTGCGCTTTTGGGTCGGGTGCGCAAATAAAAGATCGCTTTTGTCCCACCCCCATCTTTTAGCTCAAAATTTACCTTATCTTCCCAAGTGATCGCAACTTTTTGAAATTTTCTCGAAAAGTGATGTTTCTTGTTGAATCGATGCAATGCTTTACAAGTTCTGCTGATCTAAAATCAAAAACAAATCAATAAAACTCGAAAAATAGCTTTATATTATAAAATTACAATAAAACTATAAAACTAAATACTTTTTCATGTAAAAACTTACTTTAACGCATGTTTTGTAATCGAAATCGACGAAAACTTTTAATAAAAGCTCTTCAGGTAAAGAAATTAACGGGATATTAATGCAATTATTCATCAAAAAGAATAGAATAGAGAAGACGAATGAAAATAGAAAAGAATTGATAGCGTAAACAGATTGTTTACGACTACGAGCGATGACAAAATGACACCGGGAAAAGGCCGGGCAATGCTTCGATTTTAGAAGTTGATAGAATAAGAATGGAAATAGAAAAAGGTATTATAAAGTTCAGGTTCGCAATCTCTTTCGTGATTCGCTCTTTTCTGGTCTCCGGGTATTTTGATTGAGTTTACGATTATTTAAATCGAATCGATCTCCTCGAAAATTCCCGTTCGCAAATCAGAAATCGGAATTTCAGAAACAGAAATCGCAAATTCAAAGAAGTCACAAAGATACTCAAGAATCACCAGAGGACTCGGGCACACCTTTTCGACAGCACCGTCCTCCTGGTACTCTGCTAAGGGACAGAGACCTGGGCCACGACACAGACCACTGAACGAGCTCTGAGAACCACGCATCGAGCCCTCCTCGGCTACCTCCTCGGCTACCTTCCTGAAAGGAACCTCCTTGGGCACAATAGGAAAGCTTAACCAAGACCTATGAAGTACGGATATGCGCTCTCGGGACTCAGAGATCCAGTGGAAGTGATTGAGAGAAAAAGACTCAGATGGGCCGGGCCGGTCACGTAGCCAGAAGAACAGACGACAGATGGACGATACGGATCACAGTGGCTACCACGAGACCAGAAGAGGCCCATCGGAAGACCAGCAACGAGGTGGAGCAAGAGTGGCAGAGACGGCCAGAGAAAGGATGGCTAGAGTGCAACCACCACCAGCACAAGCAAGTCGAAGACTTCGAACCAGGAACAATCAAGATAGGAAACACTGGATGACAATAGCAAGGGATAGAGAAATGTGGAAGCAGGTTTTGAGCTGCGCAAAATAGGAACACCTGAATGCGAAGACAGATCAAAAAAAATGGCAAATCAGAAAGAAAAACAGCAACAAAAAGGAAATCTTAAAGCAAAAAATTGTCTGATCACTACGAAAATCAGTTTTGATGCCCGAAAAAGTGTTTTTCGTTTTTCACCTCTCAGCTTTAATGATATTGTAAAGTCTATTGGTGATATTTTTAGAAGGTTTTGAACAATCCTTGTTGAGCTCGCTGAGATAGCTGAGATATTGAGCTAGCTGAGATAGCTGAGATATAACTGTTGCAGTGCCGCAACGCTAAAAACACTCTAAAAATCCACAATATATTATCAAAAAGACGAAATTTACAAAGTTTAGATTAGAATCATGATTGCATAATCGTCACGTGGTTGGCAAGCCTCGTTTATGTTCAGAAAGATCTGGGGTTCAATTCCGTTTATGAAAAATGATGCTTCGAAGGTCCAAAGTTTGTAGGAACTAAAAAAAACACAATATGGAACTGATTTTCAATAGCTTAAACATTTCGGAATATTTTTGACCTTTCTAACATTGCAACGATTGAAGTATCTGTTTCTATGATTCGAAAGTGAATATGCGTGAAATTGAGACTTTGAAATTTTCGAGAAAAAACAATAGAAGAGAATTGATGTTCACCGAGTGAGTCAAAAAAACAAAGAATGATTGTGATTGACATGGAAACTTCTCAAAATGCCACATTTCCATCAATTTACAATTAACTGGGAGGAAAATTTGCATATTGACGGGTGCAAAATGAAATCACTCTTTCATTTCACATTCTCCGGCTTCTCCGGCTTCGTTTTTCAGGTGATTTTATCAATTCCAGCATCTTATTTCTAAATTTTAGAACTTCTGCTCACAAAATTCAAATTCTTGTTAAAATCTTTGACATTGCTTTGTTTAGAATGGCACAACCGAATCGCGAGGAGCGTGGCAAGCTTTATCGAGGAAATTGGGTGAGTTGTTGTTGGTTATTGTTGGTTGTTGTTGGTTGTTGTTGGTTGTTGTTGTTGGTTGTTGTTGTTGGTTGTTGTTGTTGGTTGTTGTTGTTGGTTGTTGTAGCTTGTTGTAGCTTTATCGAGGAAATTGGGTGAGTTGTTGTTGGTTGTTGTTGTTAATTTAAATAGAAACATTGACTTTTGCGGTTAATTTTGCGAGTTGCGGTTAATTTTAATAGAAACATTGGCTAAATTGTTGTTTTATGCGTGATATTCTGACCAAAAGGGTGGATTTATTCAATTTTAGAACTACTGAGCAAGCTAAAATTGTCAGAATTTCTTTTTGTCAGCATTTTCTTGAACTTTTTTCTTTTCAGGATGCATTGAATTTCGACCGACGTGCCCCCGAATTCTTCTGGGAGATTTTCTGCGCTCAATGCGACAAAGCAATTACAAGAGATTACATTATTGAGGTTAGCTTTTGGTTGTTTATCGTCAACAACTGGATTAGAAAATGATAGTTCTTGGATCTGTGCTTGTTAAAGACCTTGAAAGTTTTTTGAACCTTTTTGCATTAAAAGTTTACAAGTTTAATGATTGACGAGTCAAGTTAGCACAGTTAGCTTTTTCTAGCGCTTAAATCGTTTATAGTTCTTTCTAATCAATTATGGAGTTCAAAACTATATGTTTCTGTTTCAGAATATGTTTCGCCCACCGGCTTCTGGATTGATAAGTTTTGTAGAAGAAATAGATGTCTCGACTCCATTTGATCGCATCAGAGCACATCCACTTCTTCATCAAATGACCATACTTCAGAGAGACGCCAAGCCTTCGAAGAAGAACCACCTCTTCGAGAACCAAGTTGAAGAAGTCCCATCCACCGAAGGAGCCAACTTCAGCCAATCAGCGCATTGAGAAACACAGTGGAGACGAGGGACCGGAAGTGGGCAACCACGTGATTTGGTTCCTTATCTCTATAAATTTGGTTGTGATTCAGAGAGACGCCAAGCCTTCGAAGAACCACATCGTTGAAGAAGTCCCATCCACCGAGGGAGCCAACGATCAGCGCATTGAGAAACACAGTGGAGGCGAAGGACCGGAAGTGGGCAGCCACGTGGTCGTACTTGGGCTCATTTGGTTCCTTTTCTCTCTAAATTTGGTTGTGATGAAGGTGGCCATACGGTTTATTATTTTGCAGAAAAATAATCGGCTTAATGAAATAAACCGTAGCTCATTTTGTGCATTTGATTTTAAACGAAAGTACAAAAAGAAATGAAAAGATTTTCAGCCTATTACACCGAGCAATGCGTACTCATTCGATATTCTATTGCCAATTGATTTCCGTAGCTCCGTACAAGAATTCACTTAAATTCACTTAATCCAAAATTCAATAGCCCAATTCTGTTTTAGTCATATACAGTCTATTCAAAAAATAACTGCTTCTTTTGATAAGTTTCAATGGGAGAATTGAATCAAAAGGAGGCATTTAAAAAGAGACTTTTCAATTGAATTACTTATCGTCTATGGCTCACCTTTTGAATCAGCCTGCCATATAAGAGAAATGAACTGAACGGTTTCCAAACACAAATCATGGCCCGTTTGCTTCTATTTGTTGGCCTCCTTGTCGCGCTAGTCGCTGCGGACTGTCCAGCCGATTGGCTCTACTCTAGATATTTGAATGGCAGCTGCTATAAGGTTTGAATGATTTTTATTTGGCAGTAAAATTGACTAATAAAATTGAATGCAGATAAAAGGTTAAGTGTATAATCAAAATAAGCTAAAGAATCCGAATTCACAAATTTCAATCGGTTACAAATTGAAAGAATAATAATATACCGTAAAAGCTGTAATAGTAGCCTCCTATAGGAGCGTCGTGTAGTCTAAGTTTACACTCAAATAACCGCTCATATCTCGGCGCCCAGGCATTTGTTTCAGCCCGCTTAGGTATTAAATTAAAGTAGAGAGGATGGGTGATTTTTTGAGATATAACACATATTTTTAGCATTACCCAGTGCATAGAGAAAGATGATTGAAAAATGATGAAAAATCGGCCTTTTTTGCTACTTTTCAATCATCTTTCTCTATGCACTGGTTAAGGCTAAAAATATGTGTTATATCTCAAAAAATCATCCATCCTCTCTACTTTAATTTGATCCCTAAACGCTTTGAAACAAATGCCTGAGCGCCGAGATATGAGCGGTTATTTGAGTGTAAACTTAGACTACACGACGCTCCTATAGGAGGCTACTATCACAGCTTTTACGGTATGCTTTATTCAAAGGAACAAAGCGGTATGGACTTCTCTAAAATTAGACGCCATTTAATGTTATAAAAAGATACAAATAAAAAGGTATTTTGACAATTAAATAGTATTTTTTGACCCAATAGTGTGAAGTGAAAAGTTTTGGGGAATCGTTAGCGGAAATCTTGAAATTTTTGAAATTACACTACAGCTAGTGAAAGCAAAATATAGAAGAGTGTTTATGTTTTTGTTTACATTCAGGTGGTCACTCAAACAGGTGGATTGACGTACGAGGAAGCCGACGCGTTGTGCAAAGCGGCAAACAGTAACAGTCAGCTGGCATCGATTCATTCGCCAGTCGAGGACCAATTTATCATCGGTTATGTGGAAATGAAAGTATAATGTTGCTCTTGTTTTAGACATCTCAGCAATGGCCACTACAACCTCGCAATACCAGACGCTTCTCGGGGGGAAACGAGTGAGGTTTTGCCTTCCATTAGCAGCTGTGGTCTTTTACCTTTGCTAACAAATCTATAAGCAGAAAAAAAATGGGTTTAGCTTTTAATTGTTAGTATAGAAGACTAGTAGACTACTATAGAAGACTTATTGTAGAAGAGGGTTATTTTAGAAGACTAGTTAATATAATGAACTCCTATTCGTCTATTCACACGAGCTGATATTCACATAGATTCACAGGAACCATATTGGAACCATAACTTCTAGCATCCGAAATTTCTCAATTAAAGGTGGAAAACGGTTGGCAATGGTCTGATGGCACAGCCTTCGACTATACGAACTTTGCCGCCGATGGGAACACGGGAAGGCAATGTGTTCAAGTGAATGCTGTCGAATATGCACTTACATGAGTCTTAGGTCTCGTCCAGTACATCATCGAATCCAGAGTACGGACAATGGAGCGACGCCGACTGTAACACCAAATTCTTGAACGCCGTCTGCAAAGCTATGACTGCCCAGTCGCCGACGAATCCAGCGACGAAGCCGGCCGAGTGCTCGCTGGGCTGGTACTACGATAGACGCTTCAACAGCTGCTACAAGGCATTTAGCTGAGCCAAAACTAAAAACGGAACTGCCCAAAATGTTATGTGCCATCCAGATAAGATAATTTGTTTAAAAATTAACTGAATATCTTTACTGGAATGAGGTGATCAGTCGAGAGACCGTTGTTGACTTCGATCTAGCAAATTATCTAGATTCCCCCAAAATTAAATCGATTCAAACCGAAATCTGGATGTCACACTACATTTTGGTCATCATATTTTAGTCGTCATGTGCACATTTAGAGGAATTATATTTTCAGGTCCGGCTATTCAATTAACTTCCAGGTGGTGACCCCAAATAGCAGTATTCTGGACTTCAACAGTGCAAACGAGGTCTGCCAGAACGCCAGCGCACAGCTAGCATCGATACACTCGGCAGAGGAGAATGAGCTGATTGTTGGTAGGTGGAATGGCGATAATGGGTGTCACAATGAAGTCCCAGATTTCTGAGCACTGATTTTGAACTAGAGGCTAACGTTGAAAGCTGGCATTGAAATCATCCCTCGGCTTTCTCATAGCAAGCCAGGAATGGCCAGGAATCAAAGAAAACCGGGAATAAAATCCGCCACCATCCTCTTATCGGGCGACTGCACAGATCACTGTACACCAGCAATGATCTGATTGCTCTGTCTCAACTTGAGACAGAGCTTGAAACAGACTTGAGACTCTCAAGTCTCAAGCTTTGCTAATGTAATGCATAACATCTAATTTCAGCTCTCGCCAGCGATCTTTCCCTTACGGTATCGGTCATTAGCTACCAAACTTTGCTTGGAGCACGACGAGTAAATCAAACACTTTTAAGAGTTGACTAAACTCAATTCAAGGTCGACAATACCTGGACATGGACTGATGGGACTCCGTTCGACTACAATAACATTCTCACCGATGCCGATTATAATTATATACCGTGCCTTCAAGTAAGAAAAGATGCGCGAGAAACCATTTCCTATAAGATTCCAGGACATTAGAAACAAAAAATTAAAGAACAATTTGAGTTGCTAATATCCGGATATCTCCCTATTACGCCTTTCCATCATTTCTTCGTAAAAAAGTGAAAAGTGAATGGGATTCTAGGAGCCATCAGCCATCAGCTTATCGCATTGATCTTTTGAAACCTTTCCAATAGAACCACTAGTCAAAATCCTAGATGAGCTTTTTACCACTTTGAGATTCTATTAGAGGAAATGTGGCATTTGAATTCAAATTGTTGTCGATAAAGTTCTACGACAATGTTTTTATTATCTAAAGAACAAATTACAGTAAAATGAAAGCCCCTTTAGCTCTGGGCGACGAACACAACGTATTTTCCGCCGGGCAACTACAAGAAGTGGACTTACGCTTCGTGCTCTCTCAACTATTACAACTTTGTCTGCAAAATTGCACTGACCGATCCCGTGCCAGATTATAGCACAACCACCACCACCACTACGATGCCAACTATGCGTCCGATTGGACGATTGGAGAAGAATCGTATATAACAAGCTAAACAACTGTTTTCGTTTTCTATTTCTATCCTCTTTCTCAATCAGCTAATCCCACTGTCTAATAAAAATTAACTAGCAAAAAGCTCTAAAAAACAAAACAAAATCAAAGTTTCTTTAAGATAAAACTTGTAAAAACCTAAAGATAACGTAAACTTATAAAATAAAAAACATAAAATTTTGATGGTTTTAAGCTAACAACGAAATGGTCCAAAGTTTAGGTGACCGTTTGGGATGAGTGATACCTCATTCGATAGATCTCATCATGAATATTGATGGCCAATAAAATTAGCTCCCTAAAGTAACTCTACAACGAGAAATGGGGCCGACAAGGAGCAAAAAAATGACGTTTTTTGACCCTCCTTCGTGAGCGTGTAACCCTTTACTGAATCAATATTTTTGAATAATCTTTTTTGCATGTAATAGAACTTGAATGAGACTAAAAGTAGTAGTAAACTAATTTCTCGAAGCAACGAAGCAACTTCCTTAAAAATGACCTAACTTTTAGGGTCATTTGCTTCACCCATTACAGCGCTCTAAACACATTATTGTAGAGCTCAATAAAATGCTTCGAATAAAAATGCCTTCGAATAGGGTTTAGAATAATTTTCGAAATTCTGACTTTTGTGCTTCGCTTCGAAAGCTTCATTTCATTACGCTATTTCTACGCTCATAGCACAAAATAGTATTTTATACTCCGAAATTTCAGGGTGATGGTTTATCGAATGAGCAGATGGTTTATCGAATGAGCAGAGTATAAAGACATACACCTGAGTCATATAACAAAACAAACACAAACACCAACATAAAACAAACAAACAAACATAACAACCATCAAAAATCCAATACAATACAAATAATTGCCTCGGGTGGGCTTAAATCGGATTTGGAAGACGTGCGCCTCCTTGGCTCCCAGCGAACCTTCACATATGGCCCATTCCCATCATCGACTTCCAGCGCCCTTCTTCGCAGGGCCTCCAATTCGACCCGCGTGCTGCTTCCAGGTTGTACCCCCAGCCCGAAGCGAGGGAGTGAGCCCACGAAGGTCGAGCTTCTTGAAGAGATTGGTGATTGCCTTGGCGGCTGACTTTGCACTGATTGGCATTCCTTTGTGTCCCGGAAGATAAACTCGTCAGCCGCTCTCTTGAAACTGATCCATCTATTCCAAAGTGCCTGAGCTTTTTGACTTCCGTTGAATGAGATGTACGTGAAACGCCTCGCCCTTTTGATCGTTCTTGGCTCGTTTCACCTTCACTTTCCAGATTTGTTGTGGCTCCTCTGAGATATCCTTCCATTGCAAGGCGGCTACCTCTGATATGCGAAGAAGGGCGGTAAACATCAGCAACGCCATCACCACCGACTTCAGTTCTTGATTGCTGTCCGAGTCGAGGCATGACGGATGATCTTCTCCATTTCGTGCCATCCAATTGGTTTGTGATGTGAGGTCGGAGGAGATAAACGAGTCGAAGCTTTTGTGATTGACGACAAGAGGGCGCGTGATTCACGTCCGGCTCTCCATTGAAAAACTTGAAGGGGCGATGTTTAAGATGATACCGCTGGCCCCACAGATCCCGATTTGTGCAGAAGATAGATCAGCAAAGATGAGGCAGCTTGTGGATCCAGCTTCACCTCTTCGGCAAATCCCCGTCGTGCTATTTCGGCTTTTGCGTACATCTTCATCGTTGAGGAGGCCAATTCGTTGGAGGCAACGAGCGACACTTGATCCAGTAGGTAAGGGGCATCTTTGACGAAGCGATCACATCCAGGACGGGCTTCCACTTCTCCAAACACAGCTCCTCTAAAATAAACAATATAAATAATTTAACGACATGATCAAAGGGATTGGGTGGGTGGGTCTTATACTAAACAAAAACTCTGCTAACGATTGAACCAGAATGAAAATTTTTGCTAAATTTTCTCCTTTTATACCCTTTCCCAAGCCTACGGTAGTTCATCCACCCTATAATCCAAACACTCCAGTTGAATACTTTTTGCTACAGAACAAAAAATGGTGCATCCTGAAAGAGCATAAAATATATTTTGTGCTTCGCTTCGAAAGCTTCATTTCATTACGCTATTTCTACGCTCATAGCACAAAATAGTATTTTATACTCCGAAATTTCAGGGTGATGGTTTATCGAATGAGCAGAATTATAAAGCCCGCTGGGACATAAAATTAAACTTGAGAAATAGGAAAGGAAATTTCAAGAATTCCGAATCAAAAGTTATTGCCCGTTCGGGACGGAATTAAAATTTTTGCTCCCACCCCGAACTCCAGGTAGCTTCTATAAAATCTTTCCAATCTCCTTTATAATCAATCAGAGAGGCCATATTGGGTGGGATGTCCATTTAGGCATACCTAAGATTCCCCTGGACTTCATAAATTTTGCTAACCTGAGAGCCTTGCAGAGGCGACTTGGCGGCGGACGCACCAAACTCGATTGGCCGGGTTCCATTGACTGATGCAAGAAATGCGTTCTCACCAACTGCTTGAGCGTTCGGGAATCTAGAAATAAATACATCACATTGGGCATTATAGTCGTTCGCAAACAAATCTATGTCTATCCCTCCAAATCTATTTTGCACTATGTTAGCCACCTCTCTTCTTATACCCCAATCATCTAGGTCAATTTCTCTACTCATGCCGTCAGCTTCTTCATTTAACCCTCTGGGGATCCAGAAGGATGAGCTCAACTACACTCTCGTTTGCCAAGCGTAAAATTTTTAGACTTAGTGCTTGCAAATCCTTTTTCATACTACCTTTATTGACAATACTAACCGCGCCTTGGTTATCGCAAAAGCTTTTATGCTTTGCCCGATGGGAAATTGCTTTCTAAATGATTATGCCAAAAGAATCCGCGCAACTCCCGCTTAGTGCTTGATTCCGCCTGTTCCTCAAGTGATAAATTCCGCGCTGCTTTTAGGGGTCCCAGGGAGAATTAAAAACGGCACCCAGTGCAACCGCTGATGCATCGGTAAATAAATTCCACTCACCGGTGAACTCTGGCGTAAAGTGATCGCTTCATTGGTTGATTAAGGGACGAGCCCATGCTTCCCATTCTTCTATCTCTTGAGGTGACGCCGCAATCTTCTTGTGAACACCTGCTCTGGATTCTTCTAGCATTGCCACCATCTGCGAAGTGGACCTCGTTGATCGCACAGCGTCTGGAACAACAAGATACAAGAAACCACATGACCGAGAAAACGTCTACGACTTAGTAAAGTGTTATGGCCTTCTAGTAACCTTTTTACCTCCGCCTTAGTCTTGTCTATTCGCCTTTGCGATATGGATACTGATCCATCTGCCAGATCCACTCTGGTCCCTAGAAAATCCAACGCTTGACTGGTTCCAACTCGCACTTGTCAAGTGCTAAGGTGATTCCGCACCTTTCCAATGCAGTAACACTGCCTCTTTCATTCGTAAAATTTCTTGCCGACTCTCAGCGAAGACTAGACCATCGTCTAGATATAAACAAATATTCACTGCTTGCTTTCTCAACGAAGCCACTAGAGGACGGAATAATTTTGTAAATACCCATGGTGCCGGCGAGAGGCCAAATGGTAAGACTGTAAACATGTAATACTCTCCTAGCCATGTAAACCCAAAAACGGTTGACTTTCTGGGTGAATTTTAACATGGTGATAGCCGTTTTTAAAATCAAACTTAAACATATACCCTTGAAATGGTAAAACATCGATCACGGAGGATAAATCCTCCAACCGAAATTTTGTACCAGGCAAAAACGTGTTAAGGTACGAGAGACCAAAATTAGCCTAAGCTTTCTATCATTGGCTACCACCATGAGAGGTGATACCCAACTCAAAGTGTCCCTTTTACTTTTAACACAGCTCTGCGAGACAGAAGGGAATGAACCTCCTTACTCACAAACTCCTTATGTTCAAAAGCTGTTGGACGGTTATTTTCCCAAGGCTTACGGACTAATGGACTAGAGAACTGAATAAAATACCCGGACTTAATGACGCTACACCAAAAGGGGAGGCTCCTAGAGATGCCCAATACTCTACAGCCTTAGAAAACGCTCCTGAATTAACTCACTAGTTTCTTGGTCCTGAACCTCCTTGAGACAATTGACACGTGTGACCGTATTGAAAACAGTTGTAGCATTGAATACGTTTCGGCGCTCCTTGAAATCCCGAGGCCATACCCAAATCTATCGGCGGAGCGGCTTTGACCTCTGAGCTCGTCGACGCGCGGAGCACATCGGCGTTCGAAGGGCCTTGTTGAAAGCGGGACGGAGCATAGCCAGCGGCTCCGCCCCGTTGGTGAAAGGGCTGCCTCTCATACTTCCGCTTCATCGGTGGTTCGTCTTTCATTAGCTGCGTTGCAAGCAAGAGGCTACCTAGGGATGAATCTCCGCTGGCTTCCGAAAGTATTTTCATCCTTTGAGCCGTCTCCGCAATCTCGAAGGCTTTCGGATTAGAGTCGGCAGCGATCAGAGAGCGTTACGTTCGTTGATCAACTTCTTGGCGTTGGTGAGACTCTCCTCCGTTCCCTCCTCAATCTGCTGGAGCACGTTCGTGTTGAATTCCAGTTGGATCGCGAACGGTTTCTTGGTCAACGTCGGGATACTCGGCTTTGTCTTCATCTTGGCAGTCAACTTCTCGAGCAGATGTTCCTCCAATCTCTCCAGTTCCGTTTTCTCCTTCTCATCACCCATTGCAATGATCGAACCTAAATAAAGAAATACAGCAGCGAAAGAAAACTGTTATAAAAGAAAACACAAAATTTTTGTAATCTCGCTCAAAACTTAGACTAAACTTGAAATAACTTCATGCTAAATTAAAATAAACAACATAAATAATTTAATGATATAACTAAACTCTACTAAACTAAAAACTAAAACTACTAAACTAAAAACTCTGCTAACGATTGAACCAGAATGAAAATTTTTTGCTAAATTTTCTCCTTTTATACCCTTTCCCAAGCCTACGGTAGTTCATCCACCCTATAATCCAAACACTCCAGTTGAATACTTTTTGCTACAGAACAAAAATGGTGCATCCTGAAAGAGCATAAAATCATATTTCATCTTCCATTTTCTGGTTATGCAATCTTCTTGCCAAAAGCCAGTCAATTGATAGTTCTGTTCTCCTTGTTCACCAATAAATTCCGTGGTAATCTATGTACGGTTACAATAAATAGATTACCACGGAATGAATTATGTGGCTCATAAATTGTAATTGCTTTATTATGCTTACTTGCTTACATTTTATTATGCTTGAAATGAAATTCAAAAATTTATCATGCGATTTGTAATACCCGTAAGAATAAAGCACAAGCCGAATTGTTGCCGAAAGCACAAATTGTTAGTTCATCGTCGATACAACTCTCGCAGCGAATGTTCAACTTGGGAGAAATCTGAAAAGAAACTTTAATATAACTAAATAAAGAACATGGATTTTTATTTTAATAGAGTTTTAAGAAATTCTCTAGTCACAATTATTTACCACCAAAATTAACAAATCAAATAAAACCAAACCTTTCATTTCTTCCATCGGCTCAACCATTTCGAGTTCTTTTTGCGCGTTTTCCGGATCCGAATTATGGGCAACATTTCTGACGTCCGAAATAGAAAAACGCTGTCGTAGAGTTAAATCTAAATTTTGGAATTCAATGAAATAAATTTAAATTTCTTTAATAGATTTATGAAACCAAAAATTGTCAACAAACCTTTTTCATGAGCCAACGGGAAGAGTTTACTCGATCCAAGGACAGCTCTCGCATCGCCGATCACTTTTAGAGCCACAACCGGTCCACTAAAATAAAAACAAAATAAAGCTATAAAAAGAAATTGGTTATTGGGTACCTTGAAATGTGTCTAACCAATCGGCCATAGTAGAAGCGTCCTCGGTGCATTTGGTAGAGGTTCTCGGCCTGGGATCGATCCAAACGAAGCGGTCGAATCGAGAGAATCCGCAGCCCCGACGAGAGCAATTCATCGAACACAATCTGAATAGATAAAAATTAGAAACAGAATTTGATATCCGTTTAAAAGTTACATCGAATTAATTTGGTAGAAGCTTCCAAAAACTCTAATCTCTAATCTCTACTCTACTCTACTCTAATCGCTTCGAAACTTTATTAAATATAAACAGTACCAGCGTTAATTTATAGCTTTTTTTTAAAAATAACCCCTTATTAAAATATAAAACAAAATAAGCAAACCCTGAGCAGAAAAGGATGCGAGACGACATCCGGCTTGAGGAGGAGCAGTGATGGAGCGGAGGACATCTGGAAAATAAACAAATTAATGAAGCCCGATAGTTAATTCAAAGAACAATAAATCATTAATTAACAAAACAAATTAACTTCTCGTAAAAGCTGTAATAGTACCCCCTTATAGGAGCGTCACGTAGCCTAAGTTTACACTCAAAGAACCGCTCATATCTCGGCGCCCAGACATTTGCTTCAAAGCGCTTAGGTATCAAATTAACGTAAAGAGGATGGGTGATTTTATGAGATACAACACATATTTTTGGCATTAACCAGTGCTTAGAACAAAATGATTGAAAAGTGGCAAAAAAGGTCGATTTTTCATCATTTTTCAATCATTTTGTTCTAAGCGCTGGTTAATGCTAAAAATATGTGTTATATCTTAAAAAATCAACCATTCTCTCTACTTTAATTTGATACCTAAGAGCTTTGAAACAAATGCCTGGGCACCGAGATATGAGCGGTTATTTGAGGGGAAACTTAGACTACACGACGCTCCTATAGGGGGCTACTATTACAGCTTTTACGGTAATTATTTTAAGTCTCACGTAAAAAGTTAAATTAAATGAGCGAGAGAAAAGTCGTTTGCGCTATTGGAAAAGTTCAAATGCAAACGTGGAAGTATGAATGCAAATTTTAAATAACTCAATGCAAACTTCACAAATTGTCGAGAAAAGTTTGATTTTACATGCTAAGTACCAACTTTAGAATTTCTTAGACTTATTTAAAGGGCAAATAAAGTGAAGTTTATTGTTCGGGAAAGCCACCGTAACCTGTTCAACTTTGTAGTTTACAATTAATGAGGGGAGCAGAAGAAAGGGGAATTAACTGCCCTCAGCAAATCGAGAGTTCTCTTTACAATTGATGGCACTTTCCCTACAACGGAGGGGGGTTTCCCCCTGCCCGTGCTAGCCCGTGATGCGCGATCGGGAAGTGACCTGCGTCACATCGTGTTTTTTTGAAAGGGGCCGGAAACCACGTGACACGCAGAGAACACACAGAAAAACAAATTTAATCAGTCTAAATAAGGTGCAGGGAAAAGAAATCCCCCCGTTATAGGAAAAGTACCCAATTCATTGAGACTTTGACCAACCTAAATGAAAATGAGTATTAAATTTAAAGATCAACCTCCAATTCGTCGATTCCCGCGTAAATATTGATTGAATTTGTGCAGAAGACGATCACCATTCCCATGAAAACGTAGTAGAACAAATTGATATCAAGAGAAGTTGTCATCTAAACCAAAATCTTCCTGATCATAAAACATTAAAACTTTACCTGAAATCCGTAAGGAGCAGTCTTCTGCACAAAAGTCGTCATCGAGCTGACGATTGCTTGGTTCAATCGAGAGAGTGAGACATGACTGTTCAACTAAGTCACCTTATTGAAGTTATAGAGGACCAACAAAGTTGTGACGCATGGTAACAAAAAGTAGATTGACAACCAATTGTACCAACATTCGATCGGATCTTTGAGGTGGTATAACTAAATAAATGGTCTTAAATGTCAAAATGGAAGTCACCATAACAAACTTGTAAAGTTATAACAAATTTGGATGTATGCGCAAAGCGAAACAAACAGTTACAAGTTATCAAAAGAAAACACAAACTCCATAAGCACGAATGGCATCATTCTCTTTGGCGATCCAGTAGTCATCAAGATCGGCAGCGCCGTGTTTCGATTTGGGCACAATTTCACGACGAGCTGGATCGATCCCAATCAACTTGTAGGTTCTTCCATCGTAGTGATAAGTCGATGCGTAAGCAAGAGTAGTCTTTGGATCAGGAGAGCAGTAGATGTCGCAGGCATAAACAAGCGTACCCCTTTTGCCTAACAGAAATACAAGTTAGATAAACTCAAATGTGACAAACCAAATCCAGTCCACCACTTCGAATAATTTCAGCAGCACGTGGATCTTTTGTTCCATGGAAAGCGGCTAGCCATTCATTTGTGGCCGAATTCTGGTCACCTAGGTAATTAAAATCAATATAAATCTTGGATCTTTTCGTGGATTTCCATTCAGCTTAACCACTACAATTAGCGCCTTTTGTATAGTAATATATACTTTATCCATCAAATAGTGATCCAATGAATGACACAGGAGAATAATTGAAAGTTAAGCTTGCAAAATACCAAAGTGCAAAAATTGTACAATCTCACAGATCAAAAAAGAGTTTCTACCTAACACGGAAAGACACAGATTCCATATGGACGAATGGCATCATTTTTCTTGATAATCCAGTAATCATCAAGGCCAGCAAGACCGTGTTGAGACTTGGGCACAATTTCACGATGAAATGGATCGACACGAGCCTGAAACAAAATTAATATTTCCAACAAATCAGTTACTTATTGACTATATTAAAGTCAGTAACAAATCCCACCTGTACAATCAACTTGTAGTTTTTTCCATTGTGTTCGTAAGGAGATGCATAATAGAGCGCAGTCTTTGGATCAGGAGTGCAGTAAATGCCATAACCAAAAGTAAAGCGATTTCCTTTCCCCTAGAAGAATATTTTGTAAAAATGGATCCACGATTACCCACTAATTATTCAAAAGCCAAAATAACAAACCAAATCAAGTCCACCACTACGAACAATTTCAGCAGCACGCGGATCCGTTGTTCCATGATAAGCAACTGGCCATTCGCCATCAATAGAGCCGTTCGCACTTTGGCTAAACCTGTAGTTAACAAAATAATACAAGAAAAATTACCGCCCAACGTATCCGAGCCAGGTATTGTCCCCGTATTTGTCAAGAACATCGAGAGCATAACGCATTGACCCAAGTGGGCGAATGTAATGAGCTCCACCCCGAGAGAATGTTTGCTGATCAATCAAAATCTTCGTGAAATCGTAATGAAACTTTTCGGCAAAGAATCCCGGGTGCATTTTGTAAGCGCTGCATCTTCCTTCTCGACGTGTCGGAATCAAACGACGAGCAGCATCATGACAGCAAGCTTTTGTATCTTAAGGATAAAAAGTAAACACTTTGCTAGAAAATTGGCTGTAGAAACAAACTGGGTATTTAAGCAGCCCTAACTCAGACGTTTTAACTTTCGAATTGTTTTTATCAAAAAAAAAAGTTTGTGTAATTGAAAAACTGACCTTACCCTTTTCAACCGTTTTCTGGATCGTATTCACATTGAAAAAGAGGTCGCGTGGTTTGACAACCTTTTCAGAATCCCAATCGTGATCTGAACCGAAACCGAGATCTGAATCGAAAGTCCCATTGTTGAGAAGAGACATGTGCCAGTTAATACCAACAAGGAGAGCTTTATCTAAACAAAGAAATTTAGTCAACAAAACATGAAATAAATCCACCATTGATAAGAAGGGACGACATATTGAAACCAGTCACCGATTCCGAGAAGGTAGATCACTGAAAGAAAATCAGTTGAGATTTCTGTTCGATAGCATTCAAAGCATAAAAAAGAAGTCTGCTAACAATTCAAAGGGTCCATCAAGAATTTGGAATATAATTGTACAAATACCTTTTCCACACCACCTAAAAACTTTCTCAAACGCTTATTTGGATTGCCACCTCCGTAAATTCCAATTAGTTAAAGATTAATCGAACAATCATTAAACTATGAAACAACTATGAAACAATTGGATATGCTTCTCGATTTCGAGAAGTGAAGCTAACGAACAAGAAACAAATTATGCGAGCTGTAGTAGGACACAAACCGAGAAACGAATCTTAAAAAATACGATGCAAACGTCATCTAGGAGCTATTCATAACGTGCCAGCGTTGACATCGTAGTGTTGATAAGCAATCCGCGCGAATTTCTCCAGGATGGGACAAGGGGGTCGCTACTTTGCGCCAAATTTGTTGCGCAACTAGGTCCTTTTGCGCAACTCGCCACAACTGTCTTCTAAGCCAATCTTTATGATTTTGGTTGGTGTCATTTCGTTACGCTTGTTGAGATCTACAAAATGACACCAAAATCATAAAGATTGGCCCACTTAGAAGCGAGTTATGGCGAGTGGCGCAAAGTAGCCACCCCGTGAAATTGTCTATGGCAAGCTAAAAACGCTAGTGCAACACATAAATTTGAAAACATTGCTTCGGTATTTGGAGAATGAAATGACAAATGATTCGGACGAAAATTTCCTGTACAACTCAAAATATTCAATTGAACAATTGCTTCCCGATAAAAATTTGACCGGATTTATACTTGCAACTTCAACTGAATATTCGAAAAAGCTGTCTATTTAAAGAAGCCACGTTTTGGAAAACTTTCAAATTTCTTTTGTTGTGGATTTCACTGTGCAATGTGTCAGTTTCTAACTGTTAAAACCTTTTCAAATCTTTATTTTCTTTGAAATGTCGTCTTGGGTCGTCAAACGTCGAGCAAAAAAGAACTAGAAAAATTGAAGGTGAACCTACTTATCCAAAAAGGACTAGCAGAATTCAAGAGCATATGAAAAACTTACCTGGTGATTCACAGTGAAAGTGTTAGAATTTTCCGGCCATTCAGCGGTCTAAAAATGGTCTCTCAAAACATTTTTTTGAGGTCAAAAACCCTTTTTCTGGCATAATTTAACCTATTGATTACATTTCCGATTAAATTAGAGCAAAATAAAAGCAAAATGCTCGCCCACTCCGACACTGCCAAATTCCAAAAAAAACTTGATTCCTTCTTTGGAATTAATTAAAAAAAATTGTATTTGAAATTCACTAAAAACAGCAGCGGCTCTAGGCAGTGTCGGAGTGGGCGAGTATAAAGCAACTCAACGCAAAAAGAAAAAGTCCCCAAGTAAATCTTATTGATATATTTATTTAAAGGAGACTTCAAGCTTTTAAATAATGTATTGGGTTGGGGAGAATGAGTCGGCGCCGAAAATCAAAAAAATGTCTAAAACTTCTATTCGACTTCGTCAAATAATATGCGTTTGATATGAGTAGAATGGTTAACTAATTCTCTGCAAAATGACATTTAAAAGAAAATTCAAACAGCGCCTCCGCTCAAGAAAAAGCCATTTTTTCACAAAAACTACAAACTGTGATCTAGAAAAAACCATTGGTGGGATCTTCCTGCAAATTTGGGAACTTAAGTAATTGAATGTGCTCTATCTTTTTTATATAAACACCAAAGAAGGTTTATGTGAAAGAAACTGTTCAAATGATGAGTCGGACTCTTTGCCATTTTAACCAGCTGCGTTTCGAAGTTCATAAACTCCACGAAAGAAAAGCTTTGTGGAATCTCTCAAAAGTGATTTTGTAGAGAAATAGTGGATCCTTTTGATGAAACCAAACGTATGTTTAAAGAAGGCTTTATGTGTGCAAAAAGTCCCTTTAAAGTTTGGCGCCGACTCATTCTCCCCAACCCAATATAAGAATTGGTACATTACGAGTGACAGAGTCTCAAAATATGGACATGAACAATGTGGATGATCTTTGTGTGCGTGGCTGCAGTCTCAATATTCAATCATCAAATGTGGCGGCGGAATATAATTTTACAACTACTTATCTCACGCCAACTAAAAACTTTCTCAAACACTTATTTAGATTGCCACCTCCGTAAATTCTAATTACTTAAAGATTAATCGAACAATCATTAAACCATGAAACAACTGATATTAGATACGCTCCTCGATTTCGAGAAGTGGAGCTAACGAACAAGAAACAAATTACGCGAGCTTTAGTAGGACACAAATCAAGAAACGAATGTTAAAAAAAAACGATTCAAACGTCATCTAGGAGCTATTCAAAACGTGCCAGCGTTGACATCGTAGTGTTGCTAAGCAATCCGCGCGAATTTCTCTAGAATGACACAAGGGGCAAGTCAACTTCCACAACCGGCGGTGGTCTTGGTTTTTACAAGGTTTCCTGCAATTTATAGGCTTATCACTGTCCAAAGTGCGCTAGAACTATCTTAAAAAGCCAAGATTAACCCACTTAGAAGAAAGTTATGGCGAGTTGCGCCAAAAATTTGGCGCAAAGTAGCCACCCCGTGAAATTGCCTATGGCAAGCTAAAAACGCTAGTGCAAAATATAAATTTGAAAAAATTGCTGATTTCGGAATTTGGAGAATGAAATGACAAACGATTCCCCTTCCGACGAAAATTTCCTGTACAACTCAAAATATTCAATTGAACAATTGCTTCCCGATAAAAAGTTGACCGAATTTATACTTGCAAAATCAACTGAATATTCGAAAAAGCTGTCTATTTAAAAAAAAGCCACGTTTTGGAAAACTTTCAAATTTCAAATTTCATCGGGCTCCATATAGTTCCATATGGTGAAGTACACTATAAAACACGACTATTTGCCAACAGAAAGCAAAAAAATAGGTAGATGATCAAGGCATTATTGCTTGTGTAATAAATGCGTTTTTAGATTCGAATTGCGCACGAAAATGTTAAATGTCAAGCATAGATGGGTGCCCCGTCAAAGAAGTTTTACGGCAGACAATAACAAGCAGTCCACCCGACGTAACGCGACTGCCCAATGTTTCCGGTGTGCGAAAAATGGTGAGGGGGCAGCGAGCAATTCCCGCCTCAAAAATGTGGCCAAGTCCGATCGATGATTAAATTATGCCAGAAGAAGTGTTTTTGACTTCAAAAAATGTTTTCAGAGACCATTTTTAGACCGCTGAATGGCCGGAAAATTCTAACACTTTCACCGTGAATCACCAGGTAAGTTTTTCATATGCTCTTCAATTCTGCTAGTCCTTTTTGGATAAGTAGGTTCACCTTCAATTTTTCTAGTTTTTTTTTGTTCGACGTTTGACGAGCCAAGACGACATTTCAAAGAAAATAAAGATTTGAAAAGGTTTTAACAGTTAGAAACTGGCACATTGCACAGTGAAAACCAAAACAAAAAAAATTTGAAAATTTTCCAAAACGTGGCTTTTTTAAATAGACAGCTTTTTCGAATATTCAGTTGATTTTGCAAGTATAAATCCGGTCAAATTTTTATCGGGAAGTAATTGTTCAATTGAATATTTTGAGTTGTACAGGAAATTTTCGTCGGAAGGGAATCATTTGTCATTTCATTCTCCAAATTCCGAAAGCAGGAATGTTTTCAAATTTAAGTGTTGCATTAGCATTTTTGGCTAGCCTTAGACAATTTCATTGAAGCTTTCCATATAAAGTTCGACGGGCTATGGCTTTTTAAGATAGTTCTAGCGCACTTTGGACAGTGATAAGCCTATAAATTGCAGGAAACCTTGTAAAAACCAAGACCACCGCCGGTTGTGGAAGTTGACTTGCCCCTTGTGTCATTCTAGAGAAATTCGCGCGGATTCCTTAGCAACACTACGATGTCAACGCTGGCACGTTATGAATAGCTCCTAGATGACGTTTGAATCGTATTTTTTAACTTCCGTTTCTTGATTTGTGTCCTACTACAGCTCGCGTAATTTGTTTCTTATTCGTTAGCTCCACTTCTCGAAATCGAGGAGCGTATCCAATATCAGTTGTTTCATGGTTTAATGATTGTTCGATTAATCTTTAAGTAATTGGAATTTACGGAGGTGGCAATCCAAATAAGTGTTTGAGAAAGTTTTTAGTTGGTGTTAGATAAGTAGTTGTAAAATTATATTCTTAATATATCCTTTGAATTATTGGTAGACTTGCTTTTTATGCTTTGAAAGCTATCGAACAGAAATTTCAACTAATTTTCTTTCAGTGATCTACCTTCTCGGAATCGGTGACTGGTTTCAATATGGCGTCCCTTTCTATCGATGGTAAACTTATTTCATGTTTTGTGATTGACTAAATTTCTTTGTTTAGACCAAGCTCTCCTTGCTGGCATCAACTGTCACATGCGTCACCTCATCAATGGGACTTTCGTTTCAGACCTCGGTTCCGATCCGGCTTTGTATTCGTGTTCGGGTTCTGATTCAGATTCCGATTCAGAATCTGAAAAGGCTGTCGAACCACGCGACCTGTTGTTCAATGTGAATACGATCCAGAAAACGGTTGAAAAGGGTAAGGTCAATTTTTCAAGTACACAACCTTTTTTTTGATAAAAACAATTCGAAGTCTAAAACGTCTGAGTTAGGGCTGTTTAAATACCCAGTTTGTTTGTACAGTCAATGTTCTGGCAGTGTTTACTTTTTATCCTTAAGATGTGAAAGTTCGCTTTCGTGGTGCTGCTCGTCGTTTGATGCCGGGACGTCGGCAAGGAAGATGCATCGCTTACAAAATGCACCCAGGATTCTTCGCCGAAAAGTTCAATCGCGATTTCACGAAGATTTTGACCGATGAGCAACCATTCTCTCGTGGTGGAGCTCATTACATTCGCCCACTTGGGTCAATGCGTTATGCGCTCGATGTTCTTAACAAATATGGGGACAATGCCTGGCTCGGAGACTTCGGAGGAGAGCGGTAATTTTTTTTCCTATTTTATTTTGTTAACGGGTGGTTTAGCCCGATTGAGAACGGCTCTGTTGATTATGAATGGCCAGTTGCTTACCATGGAACGACGGATCCACGTGCTGCATCAATTATTACTACTGGTGGACTTGATATGGTTTGTTATTTTGGGTTTTAAATAGATAGTGGATCCTTTTTACAAAATATTCTTATAGGGGAAAGGAACGCGCTTTGCTTTTGGTTATGGTATCTACTGCACACCAGACCCAAAGACTGCACTCGCTTATGCATCTCCTTACAAACACAATGGAAAATGGTACAAATTGATCCTTCAGGTGAGATTTGTATACTGTGACTTTAATAGTCAATAAGTAACTGATTTGTTGGAAATATTCATTTTGTCTCAGGCTCGTGTCGATCCATCTCAGCGTGAAATTGTGCCCAAGTCTGAACACCGTGTTCCTGGCCTTGGCGATTACTGGATTGCCAAGAAAAATGATGCCATTCGTCCATATGGAATCTGTGTCTTTCCGTGTGAAGCTCCTTATTGACATTGCACAATTTTTCCATACATTGTTATTTTGCAAGCTTAACTTTCAATTATTCTCCTGTGTCATTCATTGTTTGAAACTTTATTTGATGGATAAAGTATATTATTATACAGAAGACGCTAATTGTAGTGGTTAAGCTGAATGGAAATCCAGGAAAAGATCCAAGATTTATATTGATTTTAATTACCTAAGTGACCAGAATTCCGCCCCAAATGAATATCTAGCCGCTTACCATGGAACAACAGATCCACGTGCTTCTGAAATTGTTCGAAGTGGTGGACTTGATTTGGTTTGTCACATTTCAGTTTATCTAACTTGAATTTCCTTGAGGCAAAAGGGGTACGCTTTGCTTATGCTTACGGCATCTACTACTGTCCTGATCCAATGACTACTCTTGCTAACGCATCGACTTATCACTAGGATGGAGGAACCTACAAGTTGGTGGGGATCGATCCTGGTCGGCTGAAATTATGCCCAAGTCGAAACACGGCGGTGCCGATCTTGATGACTATTGGATCGCCAAAGAGAATGATGCCATTGGTGCTTATGGAATTTGTGTTTTCTTTTGATAACTTGTAACTGTTTTTTTCGCTTCGCACATACAGTAGGGGTCATAACTTTGGACACACCTCGCGCGTCAAACTAGAATTTGTTCGTTCTTTTTGCTAATAAGAGCTTTTTCTCCCGAAATCGACTATTTTATACAGTTTTTATCCCTTTTCATTATTTCTGCATGAGTTTGGCCTTTATTTTCATTCTCATTTATTTTAAAGCTACTTTACCCGAGACACCCACTTTCTAGGCGGTCATAACTTTGGACACGCCTTAGAAAACGGACAATTTATTCAAAATTAACAAAGAATAACTAATAGTTCGTTGCAAAACCTTTAGCGGTAATGACTGCTGCACAACGCTGTGGCATCGAATTGATCAATTTGTCGATATTGGCCAGAGGAATCTTGGCCCATTCATCTTTAAGCGCGGCGACGAGTTTGGTGATTTTTGTGAATGTTCGTGTCCGAATGCGTCGATCCAATTCCGCCCAAAGATGCTCAATAGGGTTGAGATCCGGACTTTGGGCCGGCCATTCCAAGACTTCGACGTTTGATTGTTGAAACCATTGAGAAACAAGTCGAGCCTTATGCTTCGGGGCATTGTCTTGCATAAACAACCAATCGGGGTCTAAATTTTGTTGGGCAAACGGAAGCATTTCTTGATCCAAAATGTCTCGATAGCTTACAGCATTCATTATTCCCTTGATTTCGACAAGTGGAACAACACCGCTAAGCGAAAAGCAACCTAAACTTATTCATTTTTTTAAGTCAGGTCAACCTTATACCCCATGTCATTACCGAACCGCCACCGGGCTTGATTGTGGGCACTTGATAATTTGAATAGTTTCTCTTATTTGCTGGACGTCGGATATAACGAATTCCATCGCTTGAAAACAAGTTAAATCTGGATTCATCACTCCATAAGACGCGACCCCAATCCGCCACCGACCAGTTCTGATGTTTCCTCGCAAATTCGAAACGAGCTTTAAGTTTCTTCCTTGAAATCAGCGGTTTTCGTGAAGAGCGTGCTCCTTTAAGTTCCGTAGATCTAAAATTTTTATATAAATGCATTATTACATCAAAATAAACCTCAGAATTCGTTGAGCTGTACTCTTAGAGATGGTGAGGCCATGGTGAAGATCGCTTGACGTCTTTCTCGGATCTTTCTTCACTGATCCAAAGCAGTGGCAGTTCTTAGGGAAACTTTTGGTCGTGGTCCTCCACCAATTTTCCGTTCTATCGATCCTGTTTCTTTCCATTTGCGGTAGACCTTAGCAGCCGCCGAAAATGTGATTCCAAACATCTCTGCAGCATTCCTAGACGACATTCCTTGACTCATATTGGCTACCAAACGTTCCTTCAAGTCGTCAGACAAGATTTTATTTGATGGCATCTAAAGAAAACCATGTATTCAACAAGTGTGTCCAAAGTTATGACCCCCTAGAAAGTGGGTGTCTCGGGTAAAGTAGCTCAAAAGTAAATGAGAATGAAAATAAAAGCCAAATTCATGCAGAAATAATGAAAAGGGATAAAAACTGTATAAAATAGTCGATTTCGGTAGAAAAAGCTCTTATTAGCAAAAAGAACGAACAAATTCTAGTTTGACGCGCGAGGTGTGTCCAAAGTTATGACCCCTACTGTACATCCAAATTTGTTACGGTGCCTTCCATTTTGCACATAAATACCTTCCTCATTTCAGTTACATTCACTAGATAAATCCATTGCGTTAAAGAAGTGCACGTTGGGATACTTGATGAATATTGCTGGATATTTATGAACGCCTCCGAAAAAGTATTTAGGTATCAAGTTTACGTTGCAAATACTGTCTCGTTTTTAAAACGACTAGGTATGGTTTTTATGATGTCCTTAACGGAAACGTTGTGTAAAATTGTATAAATTGAATTTTTAGACGTTTATTCCCGCACGACAAATTTTTGGCCTTCCTCTCGGCGACCATCTCGTCCACGCGTTCATCGAGTTTTGATTGGCGATCTTGGCCAATTCTTCGGGTGTCATCTGCTGGACATTGCTCCTATCTAAAAAGAAGAATTGTTGAATAAAAAGGAGAAGACAAGCAAAGTTACATCATCAATCACTGTATACAATGTCATACAGGTTTGTCGAAGGGTTTTGATTGTTCAGGAATATTTATTTAGTTATACCACCTCAAAGATCTGTTCGAATGTTGGCACAATTGGTTGTCAATCTACTTTTTGTTACCATTCATCACAACTGTAAAGGTGTCACTTATCTTTGCATTTATGTTTTAAAATCTAAAATATATTTCATTCAACTCCAAATTCGTGATCTCGTTTGCAACTCTTGTCATCTTCTTTGATTATCATTTTTTGTTTATTTTTCGGTGTCTCCATGTTTTTATTTCTTCTCAAGGCATTTATTTAAATCTGATAAACAAGCAAAACTTTATAGCATATAATCCATATCGACGCTGACTCCGCACATTGTTTGACCCTGCTCACCTTGGACCATGAATGGCGAAATAAAGTTATGAAATGGGCTCAAATTCTAGATTTCTTTTGATCAGCAAATTGTGATTTTTATGGAGAGCATCGAACCATTTGGTGTGAAATGTAAATTAGGTTGTTAGATATGGAAACCGATTAAAGTTTAGTGATTGATGAGCTTTTAAATGCGAAGGGTAGTTTTTTGAATACCTTTATGATTACTTGTTACTTGTTTAGATGGCGTCACAAGTTGCTTTTCCCGACGCTCTCATCATTGCCGGTTTTGATGGTCTACTATGTACAAGGTGATTTGATTAATTCTAAATGATCTTTTAGTTTTAATTCAGGCAGCCCAACGACGACTGTTGGGCCGGAGATTGCTCGTTACTTTATCTCTCGTTGCTGGGATTTGAGGTAAAGTTTTAACTTTTTATGGTCAGCAATATTTTGGTTTAGATAACAACTCTTGATATCAATTTGCTCTACTACGTTTTCATGGGAATGGTGATTGTTTTTGGCGCAAGTGTCATCAATATTTACGCGGGAATCAACGAATTGGAGGTTGATGTTTACCTGAAATTTCATACTCATTTTCATTTAGGTTGGTCAAAGTCTCGTCATTGCTTCATCAATCACTTTATACAATGTCATACAGGTTTGTCGATGGTTTCAAAAATTTATTTAGTTATACCACCTCGAAGATCTGATCGAATGTTGGCACAATTGGTTGTCAATCACAATTGATCGTCGCTCTCTTTGTCGGTTTTGATGGTTTACTATGTATAAGGTTATTTGCTCTATTTTAAATAACCTTTTTTTCATTTTTATACAGCTCAACGACGATTGTTGTATCGGGGATTGCTCGTTACTTTATTTCGTTGCTGGGATTTGAGGTAAAGTTTTAATGTTTTATGATCAGCAATATTTTGGTTTAGATGACAACTTCTCTTGATATCAATTTGTTCTACTACGTTTTCATGGGAATGGTGATCGTCTTCTGCACAAATTCAATCAATATTTACGCGGGAATAAAGGATTGGAGGTTAAGCGATTACGTACAAAGAACTCATTTTCATTTAAGCTGGTCAAAGTCTCGTCATTGCTTCATCAATCACTTTATACAATGTCATACAGGTTTGTTGGTGTGTTTCAATAATTTGCAATCACTTATTTAGCTATATCGCCTTCAAGATTCGATCAAATGTTGGTACAATTGGTTATCAATCTACTTTTTATTACCATTCATCCCAACTTTGTTGATCCTCTATAACTTCAATAAGGTGACTTAGTTGAACAGTCATGTCTCACTCTCTCGATTGAACCAAGCTACTGGTTAGCATATACTTATAGATTATTCAGTAGAAATTGCAAATGAAACTGTTGGCTGGTTTTTTTTCGTAAGAAATTACAAATTTAAGAACTGCATGAACTTATAGACAACCCTAATAAAATTTTTCTTTTTCTAGAGTAATCGATTGCGCTGATCCCGGAAATCACATTTTTAATTCATATTTATGATGAAAAACGCAAGTTCTATCCTTTTTGTTTTAGAGACGCTTTTGTGCCGTCTGCTAGAAGCCTAAAGGTAAAGCGTTTTGTGTGTTGGTGGAGCATATCTATGTTGGCTTATCGGCCGACATCGATTCGTGTACCCTCAACCTTTCTACTGTACCCCTCGATCCGCTTGTCGCACAAAACAGAAATTGCTGTGGGTAATCGCTACAGCTTTAATTGGTAAACCTTCCAATTTATTCATTTCTCTCAAGCCAAATCCTTCTTATCGCTCTCATCTTCGTAAAAATCTTCATCGGTTAACAAAGAATTCGATTTGGCATTCCCCATAAAACGCCAACCAATTTTATTTCGTCTGCTGCTTGTTTTTAACAAGTCCAAACTTTTCAGCAAGCTTTCCAATGATCGCACTTGGATTTACGGATATCTTGATCTGTAATTTTAATATACAAATGCATTTTTAAAG